TAATAGACTTAAAGCTAGGGAGGCACCTCGATATTTATATTCCGCGTCTGGGTGGTCGCGGCCTACATCTAATCCCTTACTGACTATGTACCTGCCATACTAACGTTTCAGTGTCTTTGGAGTGCGGACCCCATTTGACCCTGAAAACTAACTTCCCCGCTCTCTTCCTGAGTGGAGTGATCAGCTCCGTCAAAGGACTTATCAATGACTCTTCTATGTGCATAGCTTAGAGTGCATGACGAAGATAACTAACTCGACCAGTGAGTTGTTATTAACCAATCGTAACTAGGTCTTCCGGATGACTCTAGCTTACGCGAGCATGAAGGAATATGCATGTTACTTCTTGTAATTGCATGTAGACTTTGCAGAGGTCGTAGCTCGTTAACTAACCGACCAATCTGAACCAACTAAGTCTTATCTTGTAGAGCGGAGCTCCTTCTATGTTATCCAGCGAAAACCCCTCGGTCGCATGCCTCGTATCTCCGCGGAGCGGGCTGCATAGATGCCTTATCGTTTCGTGCGATAATATGATATCGTCACGATAACTACGGCAGGGCCCGGAGTCGAACACGTGACCTTATGCATTTAGTCACGTGCCGCACCGATTACGCTTCTATGTGTAACACTAGGGTGGTCGAATGTTACGTGTTGCATGGAGCCAGGTGTACGTTTTAGATGAATGGTACCATATGCTGGCCGGGATGGGGAATGGGGCCAGGGGCACGTGTCATTCAGTGGCCCAGAGGCCCTGTAATGAACTCTAGTCTTGTAGATAATAGTTGGGCTCTATGAATAATGGCTGGGCCCTGCCAATAGCAGCCAGGCTCTATGAATAATAGCCATGCACTGCTTGCCTTACCCACTACAGCCCTCACAGTCCCTACACCTCCCTGGGTATAACCCTTGCAGCTTTCCACAGCTTTCTCATAGTCCCTTCCAGCCCCCCACAGTTCCCCAAGGTCTCCTATAGTCTTCTATCCCCTGCTGCTCTACAGGAGGCTTTAATATCTTCACCAGTCTCCTTCTTATTCAAATTAATAGAATATATCTTATAGTACTTAGCTAATAGTATTTCTTGGTTGAATGGCTGAAGCTGATGTCGCAGATCAGTACTGCAGTTATTACTTTATACAGTTAAAGTATTTGCAGAACTGGCCTCCTATATTTTATTGGCTTCTCGATACGTCAGTTGCTAATTCCTTTATGCTTTCTTGCCGTACATCTCCACCCTACCAGTATCACAATTCCTCATGCTCCTTCTGCCTTATACTCACTAAATCACCATTTGAACAGTATGGTTCAAGATGTAATCGGCCTCGCGAGACCTATTATACTCGAAAAACCACTTCCCTCCATTATAGCAAGCTGTAACATAACACCTCACTTTCCCTTCTGCAAGGAACTCTGTCTAATCACCAGTTTATCCGCCGAGGCAACTCAAAGGTTGGTTGTACTCAATGCCGGTTTACACTTCAGGGAACAAATCAAAAAGGTGTTCGAGCACCGCATACACGGTTTGGTTGTTTTGGGCCTGCTGTTGATGTTTTGATAGTCAGCATAAATGCCTGTCCAGTTAAATTGTATTCTTGATTTGGGCTTCATATTATCTATTTGATTTCAGATACTTGTAGTTGGTTTACTCTCGATCATGCATTCCATATGTATGGTTATAATGTCTCTAGAATTCTGATATCACGTGCTTGTTACACTAGCACTCACTTTCCCTTTTTGGATTCCTTTTTCAGATTGTTGTGCCTGGCTATGAATATTACTGTTTCAAACCACCCAAGGGATAGATACTAATAATTAGCGATCTCGAGATTGTCCGGGCAAGCATCTACTGTTGCGACAAATCTTGTTCCCTAATCAGCTCTCCGCGGGGCACCATACATTCCTTCTAGGAGGAGGGCAAGGTGCTATGTCTAGATCACTTCATAGGTCGTTTGTCAAAGGGTACGGCACTAAGGAACACCTGAATGAGATCCCGTCAGACCGGTATTTAGAACAATCGACATAAGCTGTACCACGTACAAGACTACCCATTCGTTGAGTCCAGGGCGGAAAGAGCCGTGCATTTACTAAGGTATAGAATCTAAGGGCTATGAAGGGATATTTATGAGCATGTATTTATTTAGTTTGAGTAGACATAGACCAATACAACTATCACCTCTCTCCATAACGAAAGGTCTCATCTTCGTTTCCCGCCAGGGTCAGCCATTCCACTGGCATCACACCTTCTGTTGCTCAACATCTGTGAGTCACCCAGAGGCTCCTAGTACCACCCTGGCTGCCCAGCGATCTGGCTATTGCCCAGTATGGGGTTGTGAGCATTATGCCGGTCCAAGATGGAATCCACCAATGCCCTTTCAGCTAGGTGCTCCAGACTGATGCCGCAACAATACAGGCTGTGACCTAGAGGCTATTAGTGCTACCTCTAACAGCATAGTGCCATGATCTATTACTGACCGTTTCTAGAAGAGGATGAGGGTGTACAACCGTCATGAACATGATCCAGCACCAAGGTCCCATGGCCGCTATACGGCCCCAGCTGGCGGGCTGGCATGTCCTATGCATATTATAGATCAACATGGTCGCGTGAGTGACTGTGAAAGCTTGCCCACTTATATCATGTCCACCTACCCATTCCCCACCTGATATTCTGCACTGTGACCTGGTGGTGGGCATGGAGAGTCCTGCATACTCCTGACATTCTCCCCCAGTGGCAATAAAGGTCCGATCGGTGAGTGAAGGTCCCATGAACCACCGTGTTACCAGTAACCACCATGCCGTCGCGAGAAGCCATAGAGAGAGGAGATCCGTCTCCTGTACCGAACGAGAGCGGGAACGATACACGCCGAGGCAAACAAGAGTTGCCCATAACCACGGGTTCCCCACAAGGATGGAATTTACAAGACCATTCTTGCTTGGAAGGTAGGCGGTATATGGTAGCAGGAAGGTTCCGAGCGCTAGACGGGCGACAACGGGCATGAGGCCTGAAACCACCAGGCTGGCAGACATAACACGAGGCGAGTTTTCCCCTGAGCTGGACCAGAGTGAGAATGATGGGTACCGAGATAAAAAACTGTTCACCATAACCAGGGGTTGCCCATTACCGTGGGATGGAATTTGGAATTCACAATATTATTCCCGCTCGGAAGGTAGGAATGTGGATCGGATCGGTACGCCAGCGACGATGGCTATTGGATCTGAATGTACAGCGAGGATCGAGGAGAGTGGTTGTTGAATGCCTACGGGAACGAGCGGGGGAACCACTACAGATGGGGGGGTGGTGTGACAAATGGGGGATTACCCGACCGGACTGTAATACCCATTTTCGGGCTCTTTCTGATAATGCCCTTTGTTTGGATGGTGTGTTGCGCGTGCAATATCCCGCCTCCCTGGTGTAATGGCAACTTTCTCCTAAAGTGAACTGTAACTCGGTAGGGAAAGTATCTGGATACCAAGCAGGGCGAGGATCAGGACTAATTGAGGTAGATGAAGGAAATGTTGTCTATGCCATGATTGTCTCGTGTGTTTCCTCGTCTAGCCGGTGAAGAAGAAGAGTCCGTTCCCCTCTTTTCGACTCTCGACAACGGCGAAGCGAGCGGCGAACTAATATGGGTTCGTAACAATGGGCCAATCAGGAACCTACGCGAGTGGCGGGCTGCGAAACACTGAAACGCGAAGCGCTTACTCACAACATAAAAGCGAGGAACTTGGAAACTCTTCCCCACACCAAACACACTGGCATTCACACTCTCTCACGCTCTCTATTGCTCGCGCTCTAACTCAACTAACTAACTAACATCTACTAACGGTAGGAACAGGAGTATGTATCATGGAGGCGGTAACATGAACGACAAACCACGAAGTCCTAACCCACCCCCTTCAGGTACGTCTTCCCTGTGCAAACCTAAGCTAACAAAGAAATGACAAACTTCATCACCCATAGCCTCCAGCCCTTGATACAGCCTCCTGTATACCTCCGTGCCATTCTGTCCTCCAAATGGTCTTTATGCTTTCCCTGCGGCCTTCCTCCTCTCCTCCGATAGACTCCTGTACTAACAAAAGAATAGACAAACTTCCACACTGATAGCCTCCATTCTCTTCCTGTAAGTCTCTCCCCTCCTCTCCCTCTTGTAAACAAACCGCTAATAAGGGGAAATACAAACTCCAGGGCTTCACTGAAGCCTTTCGCCTTTCCTTCCGCTGGCGCTTTCCTGGAAATGAACTAACAAGCAAGAAAACAAAAAGCTGACTGTGATGCGAGCAGACAAGCCCCCCCGCAAACGAACGAACGAGCAACGGGGAGGATGGGAGGAAAGAGATCAGGAGAGAGGGCATGGGGAAGGAGTGAGCATGCCGAGCAGCATCTCACCATTCCCAACATAGCAGGGGTGCAGGACAGCCGCAGGGAGGCTACCGTATATCGCGGTATCAGGTACTCGAGTATAGTGATCGGTTTGCAGACGCTACCGGGGTTGTGGGTGAGGGATCAGCTGGGGCCAGGGGCGCGATATGAAGATGAGATTAGTTTCCGCCAATTCCATATCCACCTTCCCAAATAAGAAGACGAAAAGCGGGGTCAGGGTACCGGTACTCATATATCCCTTGATCTATTGATAAATATACACAAAGCGCTCCACCACTTGATATGGTATTGAAATGAGGGGTATTATTCTTTTTGTTCAATCATAGAATCTATTTGTTTCTAGTCACAAACCTCGCATGCACCCTCGACCTTGACCGCTGGCCTAAGGAAAATAAAAGAACACAATTTGTATTTCCTACAGTATTACCCAGCCCTCAGTTGATCAAATACCTAGCTTAGTCTGACTCCTCTATTCAGGGACATGATGTATCCTTGCGGTTACAGATTGGTGGAGAGGATCTGTTATGGGAAGGTCATACAGACAAGGGCATGTTCTCCTGACTACAGGTCCCGTCCACAAACCTGTAACTGCAAGAATACCCCATGACCCCGATGGCCAGACACGTCGCCAGAAGCCGGGTGGTAGTCACTGGCAGCTGTGAATAGTTTGAGGAGCTCTTCAGACGACTGGCCCCCATCCTGTGCCTGGTGGGGGGGAGGGTTGTCTTGCCAACCTGGATGCGTTTCGGTCATACTCTGGCTATCCCATTGTGGTACTGCCAATGTGTAGCGGACAACTGGATGCCAATGTGCTACCTGCCAGTCCCATGATTCCATAAAACGCCGTATTTGAGTTTCAGCACGGGCTGGATAGCCCTTGTAGTATTGGCCTGGCGGTCCACATCGTGGGACCTCATCCAACAATAGTTTCATTTCCTGTGCCTCAGGGCATGTCGACTTGGGTGGTGGTGGGTTGTGTCCTGCGGCGTTCCCCAGCAACGGGCGTCTCTTCCTTGTGTGCCTCGAGGGTCTTGGTGGGTGGAGGCCGTGGCCGTTTTGTCGGGGTTGGAGGGCCCTTCGCCTTCGCCCTCCGCTCGCTAGTACGGGGTTGTAGTTGTCGTAGGGGCTTGGTGGTGGTCTGATTGGGCTTTGGGTGTGATGGTGTGCGTTAGTGGTGTGTGTTAGTGGCTGGGTTGGGGGGCATTTGGTCTTTGGTGGGGGGCGGCTGGTGGGCTGTGGGTGGGGCAGCGCGTGTCCCCGAAGCCCCGCCGAAGAACGACCCCCCGCCCCGACCGGCAGGCGACTCGGCGATTCTTGTCGTTCTCTTCTGCGAAGCTGTTCTTCATGGGACAATCGTTCCTTTGTAGGGGCCTTAGGGCAGTTCCCCTTGGGCGGTGGTTGGGGGGTTTGTGTGTTGTCTGGTGTAGAGGGGCGCCCTCTGCCCGTTGACGCACGACCACCGTCCTCACAGGGCCTTGATGGTGCCCAGGGTGCTTTAGTGGCATGTGGCTTGGAGGCTTTGAATCCTAGTTCGCTCTGATGTCTAGACGCTGGCATTCTGTGGCTATTCTTTTAGTTTCTGTGGATACACTGCGATATATACCTGGAGGCCCAAGACAGAGGGTAGTGAGAACAAACCTAGATGGATAGTGGGAGTGGTGAACTTATACCCAGAGCGGGGGCCCAGAGTCGAGCCATGATCCACTGCTGTTGTTCGCCTCTTGTTGGTCGGGGACAAGAACATCGGGCTCAAATGCCAACAAATACACATACGCAATACCGGTACCGGTAATTGAACAACGTTTGTGAATTCGACCACGATTGAATGACGCTAAGATCACATCATTCGACCACGAGTATAATGTACTCGCGTAGTGTACTTCCTTGCTAGCAAGTAGAGAGCTTGGGAGTGAGCGGGGCATACCGTAGGCTGGAGTAGGCCGGGGAAGGACTACATTTCCTATCGTTTCTGTTGGCGATCATCTAATTAGTGCAATGCTCAAAGTAGGTGAAACGGTCTCTTAATACACACCTGATTCGTGCCCGTACCTGACTCGAGCACAATGCCGTCGTGGTGCACTCCAGCCCGAAGGCCAATGGGCACACCTCACCTATGCTCACCACTCGGAGAATCTGGCTATGTGGAGGGGGAGGTGGGGCTCTATTTAATAAAACTCTTTGCGTGGGGGCTGCTTCTGATCCAGGCCCCACCCTACCCACCAGGGATTCCGTGACACGTAAGCACAAACTCAGTAAATCCACCATCCCCTATCAGCCCCGGACCCCGTGAACCAGAGACAAAGCACTCCAGAAAGTAACATCAAGACCGCTCATCCCTTGGTTTTGGCCCACTATCTGGATTGCTCGGAGCGTGCAACCAATCTTCCTGTGGTCTAGCTTCGCCGACACCACCAGCATATGGACACCCACCCCGAAGCCCCAGCCACGATCAGGGCTAGTTATTCTCCAAGCATTCAATACAAAGACCCATAAAGAAGGTTCAAGCTATCATGCTCCGGTTGAGGCTCTGTGCATTCCTCATTATTCACACTATTTGGTAACCGGCGCTCCTCCACAATATCAATCCTACCCGCATCAAGGGGAGCCTACCTACAACATCGACAGGTAATGCTTACCATCACCATCACGGTGACCCTTTGGAACCTCAACCAAATCACGTCACAACAGCAAAAACCACCCATCCACTACTGATGTGTCTAGCATTTCCACGGCTCTGTGACCGGTTCAACACAAGGAGCCAATAGCTGTCCAACCATGACCCAGCGTCGGAGCACGGGACGGGTAGGGAGGCGGTCAAAGGCGGAGGAAGAGGAGCGGGCAAAGGAGGAGGAGTGGGCGAGGGAGGAGGCATGGGCGACGCGGGAGGAGCGGGTGAGAGAGGAGGTGCAGGCGAAGGAGGAGGGGGAGCGGACAAGGGCGAGGCGGGCAATGGAGGAAGAGTGGGCGACGCGGGAGGAGCGGGTGAGGGAGGAGGTGCAGGCGAAGGAGGAGGGGGAGCGGGCAAGGATGAGGTGGGCAACGGAGGAGGAGTGGGCGAGAGAGGAGGAGCGGGTGAGGGAGGAGGTGCAGGCGAGGGAGGCGCGGAAGCGGGACATAGAGAGTGGCACTGCCAGGGAGACTATTAAATATAAGGTTATTGTCCACCCCCGCAGCTACAGGGTAGTAGGCTAGTCCCAGTAGCCTTTAAGTAGCTAACTACGTTATAGGATTCCGGAGTGAGCTGTCGGCCAATCCCGATCGGCAGGTTCTCAGCAGATATCGAAGCTGTTAGTGTTGAGGCACACCAGCAGGATCGAGACGCGAAGACGGTAGATGCAGCTCAAGCCAGCCAAAGCCATACCAAAAGGTCAGAAAAAGAATATGAACAGCGCGAGATGGAAGTTAAATACCCCCTTTGGTTTAAATATCCTCCCTGGACACTCGTTATTGGTACTGCTATTGCCTGCTTAATAGTCCTAGGCGTCTTGCAGTTGGACGGTCAGGCCACCGGAACGTCTACCGCTCGCTATGCTACCAACGTCCAGGGACAACCTTCGTGTGATGGACTACTATCCCTACAGGGAAGGGCACTCCAGGCATAGCAGAATCACTCTTCGAACCTAAACCCCAAACTCAAAAGGGATACATGCCAAGCCCCAGCCCTACTAAGAGGACCGGTGCAATTCCATGGGGTAAGCATGGGCAGCGACGACAATAGCGTTGGATGGCAGTCTTGCATACACCAGGCCTCTGTACTGATCTGGTACGCTATGCGCCAGTCTCTGCCTTTGCGGGTAGAACAACATTGAGCCCCCTCGTACCAAATGGAGGTAGGGGGGTGGGAGACCAAGGACCCCCATCTGTTAATCGCCTTCTGCGCACCCTCATAGATGTGACAGCACCACCGCCACGCTGCATGGTAATGCGGAAGACCGCGCTTTCAGTAGCCCTCATAGTGGGAGGGTGATAGTGTCAAGGTATAGGAAACGGTTTATATGGTATGTACTAAGGCCTGACCTGTATTGGCTTACTCTGGGTATGATGAACAAAGCTGAATCAATCATACCATGGATGTCAGACAGTTATCTACTTCGAGGATTGCGCACCTGGTGTCTTAGTTAGGGTTTATGTTGTGATGGGATCTCCCCCTATTGCAAATAGCCGTATCCAGGGAGGAAGCGCTAGTCATGTGTGTATGCTATACCTATCTTTGGCTAGATGTACCCTAGAAGCAAAGCATGATCAAGATCAAGGCAAGCGATGATTGACTGTACGAAGTGTTGGGGCTGCGAGGATTGGCGAACAAGACTGGTAAACGAATATTCTGATTTACCGCCTAACAGTTGTCCATAACTCTTAACGGATGGTATTCCAGAAGCCTATCGTATTACTTGAATGTGTGTATGGTGGGGGGGGGGGGGGGGGGGGGGCAGGCGTGAGTCTACAGACATCCAAAAGCATGAAGGGGTACAGGGGTATGGAATGGATGCAACAATTACTCGAACCTAGTACAGTGAAACCTCCAATAGCTCCACCCTCCGATGTTTCCAGGTCTCCGGTATTTCTATCATTTGTCTGGGACAGGTTTTGTTCTATGGGCCTTCCTCCTCTAGGCTCGTTTCATGTACATAAGAACCTTTCATGTCACCTTCTGGGCAAAGCTGTAGACAAATTGCCAGATACCTAGATAGTGAGTTGAATGGATATGTGTGTTTTTAGAATAAGGGTCATCAGATGGCAGGGGTGTATTATTTATTCCGGAATATAAACATATGGAGTGAAAGCCTGGATACCTTCATGTACTATCACTCATTTGTCTCTCAGCACCCCCCCTCTATTCTGCCAAGCCTTTCCTCTATTTTCCATCCCCCCTCTACTTCCAGGGAATCCAGTCTCCCCACGTCCTGGAGATAACGGAGGTTTCACT